TTTGGATTATGGAACTATGCAGTTGTTGCCTTTAAAATTACATGGTTTCAGTTAATGTTTTCATTTAAGGCCAGTTTATAGTTTCAACCCAATTTAAAAACAAAAGCTAAATGCTTTTGTCAGTAGGCCTACCTACGTTTGTATTGAACGTAGCCTACTTACCGTGCGCAGTTACTGCTGTTCATTTCAGATGGTTACAGTTGTTGTTTTCAATAGCCAAAACCCAGTTTAGCCTGTTAAATACCAAATAAACATCTCGTTTATGTGTACTTTTATTCTTTCTTGTTTGTTGTTTGATTAAAAAAAATAAAATAAATCAGAAATCGGTATCGGAATCGGCCAGTTTGCTTGTAAAAAATCGGTATAGGAATCGGCTATGAAAAATCATGATTGTGCATCACTAATATATATATATATATATATAATATATATATACACACATATATACATATACACTGTATATATATATATATATATAATATGATTTAAGCTAATATATTCTTTGATTTTGGATCTTTTCAGACAGATCCTGAGAGAAAAAAAAAACTGTATAGAAAAAAAATGAACTTATGCATTCACCACTAACCATGAATCATCTTTCCTCACCTGTGACTTTCTGTGCAGCCCACAGTTTCCCAGCAGTCTCTAGGACCCAGGCTTCCTGTCGGTCCACTAGTAAGAAGGTGTTGTGGTAACTAAAGGGTTCGGCGGTCTCCCTGCAGGCTCCGCCCTGACCGTGCTGCTCCAGCAGACCTGTGATCACATTCAGAGCGGCCCATGCGCTGTCCCCGCGCTCCAGACCCAGCCTGAACACACACAATATACATCAGCTGGTCAATATTAAGACTAGAAAACAGGAAGATACAGACGTTTGCTTGTTTTGAGCTCACCGAACCAGGTCCATTCCCAGCAGAGCTTCTTCTGGATCCACAGACTCCTTAGTCCAGACTGCCTCATTCCCAATACACACCCCGTGTTCATTAGCCCCCATCTCAGCCCCCCAGAGCCAAGCGGGTCTGCTCAGCACAACCGCATGAGTGTGCTCTGCTTGAGGAACGGAAATGTATGTGCACTACAAGGAAAAGAGAATCACCTGTAAATCATCTATGCTTTTGGCCACAACTCCAGATTTCTGTTCGACAACCACATATTTGGAGGAAAAAATGTGAAACATATATTGAAATATATTTTAAATAGAAAGCAGGTTTTAATTTGAAATGCAAATATTATGCACTTTAATGAAATGTAATGAAAAAGTCAGTTCACCTCCACTGTAGATCCAGGAGCGTGTGGGGATGCAGGGAAACACACCACCTCCTGCACCTCATCCCTTGGCCGGTCAGAGTTCTTACCAAATATCACATAATCTTCTTTTGAACCCGGAGGCAGAGATACAAAACAGTCACATGACCGAGGCGGTTCAGCCATCCTATATCAAATCAATACATAAGGATCAATGCAGTGGATCACATTCAATTCAGTAACATGCCCATGCGCAATGGAAAGAATAGCAGTATGGAAAAAGGACTGATCAAATATGACATACATAGGCTTAGATACCTAGTCAACAACAACAACAAAAAAAGATCATTTGGAACAGATTATGTTCAATAATTCAAATATTCCATTAATTGTAATTTGTAAATACTCCAAATAGTAAATATAAATCGTCCAAATATTAATTTCATTTAAATGTTTCACCACAAACCGTTGCAGGAGCACAGACAGCATTTATTTGGAGCATTAAAAACAAAGGATTTTATTGGGGAAAAACAGGTTTGAGTCTGATAATGCAGACTTGTGATCAAGGGTCGTTTTCATTGGTTTCTGCTATAGTGAATACTGCGCATTAAAAAACTTAGTTTGATAATTGCTTAATGTTTAAAGAGCTAGTGGATGCACTGAAATGTGTCCACGAGGAAGCACGAGTGTGTGCAGCAGCACTGACAGCAGCGCTGAGGATTACTGTAGTGTTAGTAAGTCTCAGCGCTGGACAGTATCGACGGCTTATCGCCTGACCTCCATTTCACCGACTCTTCACATGCACAGCACAATCAAAGCTGCTTCTTACACAGCCATAAGAGCTGAATGCAGTGTTTTAGAAGCGATTACTTAATTAGCTGATAGTCTATTGATGGCCTGTGTGTCTGATAACGGATCATCAATATAAATATGCAATACAACTCGTGCATCAAAAGTAACGCGTGACATCCACGTGCATGCTTGATTTGGCCTTTATTAGTGCTACTCTAACTGTCTAGCACACGTTCGAGTGTATTTGATGAAGTTATTATTACCTTAATAAGCTCCAGATCGGGTCAGCGAGCCTGTGGGAGGCAGGGCTGAGACTGATCAACCTGCTGCTGCTGCCTGCGGCACACACTTCAAAATAAAAGTCACCTGTCCTACAGCAGTAAGCTTGATCGATGAGAACGAGCAACCTGCTACTGCAGACACTTCAAAATAAAAGTCCCATGACTGCACTGAACCGATATTATTTATATATTAACCAGAAATATTGCAACAGCAAAGTGTTTTGACAGTCTTTGAAGAAAACACTATAAGTGTTAAATATATATATATATATATACACACACACACACACAAGCATATCCATAATTCTGTGGATTATGTATGTGTGTGCGTATATATATATATATATATATATATATATATATATATATTGTGGTGGAGAAAAACAAAGGCATGTGTGTAAGTTCTCAGGAGAGACACAAGCAGCGGTCTCTACTCACTGGGGTACTGGAAAGAGTCTTCAACACACACACTGCATGAAAAAAACATCCAGACATAAACAAATTCCACAAGCATATATCAATTTCCATTCAAAAAGAAGGAGAAAGGTAGTAAAACGTTTTAAAGTGAAACATATATCATGGAAATCACACAGAGATGGTCCATCGCACGCCATCCCAATCTTTCCCTTTTATTGAAATCGTGTTGTGAATTCACATTCATAAACCCCAGAGTTTGATAAAAGGTCAATGATGGGATCGGCTGCATGAAAGAAAACACTTACAACACATAGAACACACAGATCCCACAAAGCTGGGATGTCAAATGGTCTCTTGGGTGCATTAAAAATAACTAAGAAAGCAGCGAACACACAAATACATAAGTGTGTTAAGAGGGACAGGAGTGTGTGACTAGAGAAGATGCTGGACACACACAGATCAACTTTACACGTACATGACAGGTAGGACAAACCAGACGGTTGCTTTGCTGGACTCATGCATAATGGATAAAAGGTCAATGATGGGATCGGCTGCATGAAAGAAAACACTTACAACACATAGAACACACAGATCCCACAAAGCTGGGATGTCAAATGGTCTCTTGGGTGCATTAAAAATAACTAAGAAAGCAGCGAACACACAAATACATAAGTGTGTTAAGAGGGACAAGGAGTGTGTGACTAGAGAAGATGCTGGACACACACAGATCAACTTTACACGTACATGACAGGTAGGACAAACCAGACGGTTGCTTTGCTGGACTCATGCATAATATTTGCACAACAACGAGAGCTCGGCCATTTTTACGATTCACCCCGAATCCAGTAACTCAAAGCTCGTCCGAACAGACCCAGCCGAGGAAAAGCAAATCTCAGCCAGATGGGTCAAAGAGAAGCTGAGCCAATCAGATACACATCTCCATGATCATGGTATGAACATTAGAACGGATTTATCGGATACTTCATTTGATATTGAAATTTGATTTGAATGCAAAATAACTGAATAAATCAAACATCCAAAATAAAAATGTCAAACATATAGACGCTAACACTTCATCAGACACTAAGAAAAGAAAAATAGAAATCAAGAAATTATAGAACAACAACACAATCCCTATGATCACGTGATGGTACACATGAGGGCAGAGAACACAAGGAATCATTTGTGGAGAAATTGAGGCCTGTTCACACCAACACAAACGTTCGGAGCAATAAGCATTTGCATTTGAATGAACATCTGTTAATGCGTCTGTTCAGACTGACATGAAAATTTGCAAGCAGTCATTGCAATGCAATTTCTTTTTATTGCAAGGTGCTCTAATCTCTTTTCCATCACACTGCGACAAACACCGATTCACTGTATTGGTCACATGCCCAGAGATTATTTGGCCAAGCAACGGTGAACAATGTTGTTATTGTTAACTAAAACTAAAAACAAAATAAAAATGAATACACAAATAAAAAAGCACACTTTTGTTACATAGGCTACATTTTCTATGAGCATTACTTAAAAGGGGTCATATGATGCGATTTCAAGTTTTCCTTTCTCTTTGGAGTGTTACAAGCTCTTGGTGCATAAAGAAGATCTGTAAAGTTGCAAAGACTAGTCTCAAATCCAAAGAGTCAGAGAGTGAATTTGCATTTTAATTCAACTATCTTCCATTTTTTGCATTGGCATGAACACACAAATTGCATGTGACCAAAATCAGAACAGGCCTTAACTCTTAGATCTACCAGACCAGCCACACCAGAGCTCAATGTTATGCTTTGGGGAACTAGTTAAACCTTGACTAAACCCAAGTAGTGCTGGCAATGACTCTACTCTACAATGAATTAATTGGTCAAAAAGACACAAATCATATTAAACTCCTGCATTATGGGTAATGTTTAAATAATTATGATAATAATATAATATCAAAAACAGTTTTAGTTTCCTTTTTGTTGTTTTTTTAGAATAGAGTTGAGAACAACCAGATTTGTTAAATGGAATCTGAATCCTCAGTCAGCAGAGAAACGGTTAACTTCACAGCCTGTCAGACAGACTAACTGGAAAGAGCTGTGTTCCAAAACACTCACTGCTCTTCACATTTACTAAAGCGTTTCTAATCAAACTTTTATGTAATTAATATGCTTCTTACAGATTCATGGTCTAACTATAAAAGCGGAGAAAACAAATACAAGAGCTGCTGAACAAGCAGTGAGTACTTTTGAAACCCTGCTTCAGTCCCACTACTGTCATGAACACACAGCGGGCGAAACAAACTCCATACCTTTTTCTCTGGAGAAAACCTTAGAGGTTCTACAATGTACAAGTCATCAGGACCTACTAAAGAGGGGAGAGAGGGGGCAGGTTAACGGAATGGTATGGCAAACAATAATACAAGCATGACAGCACTTGCAAGTAGTAGCACAAGTTATAAACAGACACTTCAAAGTATCTTCCTGCTGTTCTTCATGGGTGAAACTGCTATTCCATTGTAATCTGTTCTGACATGTCTTATTTCACTATTTTCACTCTGTGGTAACCATGGCTGCAGCATCAATTGTTTGCATAATGCTGTCATTTGGAAGTTCTGATTTGCTTATCTGTATATGCAACTCTCAGTAATCCATTAAATGTACCACATTTTTCCACTGTTACTACTTGCAAATGTCCAACATGTGCCAGCCAAAAGCATCATGTGCTAAAAATATCCAACCTCTGCCTTATGAACACAAACCACTGATGAGCTCACACACACACACACACAATGCTGCAGCAAAATGTGAGAGGAAAATATAGCAGGAAATAAATGGAACAAGAAGAACAGGAAGGATCCGGCGTTTAAAATAGTGAAGACGGTTCAGTTTATCTAGCTGTGCTTGCAAAGTTTTTCATTAATTACTAAATGAAACTGCACTTAAAAATAAGGAATTATGAATTTATTCTTTAATGTATTGACTCTTTTAGTAATCAAATTGTTTGTCAATATGAAAAGTGATTCAAAAGTGAATTAACTTTGAGAATCAATAAAAAGATTTCTCCAATTTGTTAACTTTGTTAGTTTTTTTTTTAGTTTTTAGCTTGTAAAAGTAAATGCTTTTTACTTAAAGGGACATATCTGATCAGCGGACTCCGGTGACGCCAAACATGAGGCAAGACTGTGTTGACATTCAATTACAAAGCACACTGGGCTCCAGTATAGGTCACACTGATATTGAATTATCGCCAGACACTTTGGAACTAGTGACAACTGGACTCAAAAGTAGTTCAAGCTGTAAAGTGATCTGTGTGGAATTGAATACAAAAGGTGTGATTCTTCTGAGAGCAGCAGCCAAATGAGAGCACACAACACAAGCCACATGTTAAGTGGGAAGCTGTGAACATCATCTCGAGTTTTCAAGCTGTGAGAAATGAAGATGGTGGATTTGAGTCTGGCTGAAAAAGACACGGGATGTTAAGAACCAAAGCAGAGTAAACAATGTGAATTACATGAGAGAAGGGGAGGAGTTAGAGAAAAAGAGAGAAAGACAGAGAGCTTTGGCATCAAAGCTCTCCTCAGTGTCAAAGGTGACTCTTACCTTCTGATGTGGGCAGCTGAAATGACTTTGAACGAACGAGAGGGCAAGAAACCCTCCGTTTCAGACTCATATCATCATATGAGGAAAAACACCTGAGAATGTGAAACAGAGACATTATAGATATGAATGTTTGGCCAATGCATTGCAAGAATGCAGGGTTCTTCAATACATAATGTGCATTAACCATCAAACGTAAAACAGTAATATTGTGAAATATTAATACAATACAAAATAACTGTTTTCTATTTGAATATATTGTATTTTAAAATGTAAATTTATTCCTGTGTGGCAAAGCTGAATTTTCAGCATCATTACTCCAGTCTTCAATGTCACATGATCTTTCAGAAATCATTCTAATATGCTGATTTGCTGCTGAAGAAACATTTTATTATCAATGTTGAAAACAGTTGTGCTGTATAAGTTTTGTGGATACCTTTTTTTTTTAGAATTCCTGATTGATGAATAGAAAGTTCAAAATACCAACAATTATTTAAAATAAAAATATTTGCTGCTGAAGAAACATTTTATTATCAATGTTGAAAACAGTTGTGCTGTATAAGTTTTGTGGATACCTCTTTTTTTTTAGAATTCCTGATTGATGAATAGAAAGTTCAAAATACCAACAATTATTTAAAATAAAAATCTTTTGTAACATTATAAATAATACATTTTTAAGGCATCCTGAAAAAAGTTAACCCCAATCTTTTGAGTGGTAGTGTATGTGGTAACGTTATTGTCACAAAGGGTTAAAGTCAAACTTCTGTGCTATTAAACTGGATGTATGCTGCCAGCTATAAACTTGTCAACAGTTTACATAACTTCAATTAGCTTGCTCAGCAACTGTTGCTCTGCTCGTCAAAAAGACTCATAAATCAGTCTTAAACCCATGTATTTTCAGTTTGAGTCCACTCTTTCATGCTGTTGTTCTGCCATAACAGTAGTTGACGTGACAGAAAACTGACTGCAGGGCCTCTAGAGAACTTGCTGCATCCCTGAGAATGCATTGTTCTTGTATTGCGTTATGAATTCTGCATTGCATTCTGACACATTTGGTGTGTGTGTTATACCTCTTAGGGCTGGGGTAGTGGTTGCTCATGGGAATGCTTGAGCTGGTGTTGTGACTGGGTGAGCTCCTGCAGCACTGCATACAAAGCAGCAAACCCAGCGTCAGACACAGGATCAGAGACAGCACTAGGTAACTCTGTCTGTCAGACACCTACAACACACAGTAAACAATAGGCTTTAAATATTCATGTACATTACTGAGTGGGCCAAACATTAGATGGGTCAGGAATGAGGTAAGAAACGTATGTTTGAAGACCTCTCGCTGTAGCTGAGCAACAGTGGCAGACAGGTTCAGCATGATCTTGGTGGCATTCTCCAGCTGGCTCTGTAACATCTGTATAGACTCTGTCTGTTTCTGGTCCTAAACACACACACAGATGCAAACAGTTATCCACATGTTATTTGTGTTTAAAAAAGTGCACTGTACATGCTTTTATTAACCAGAAGGTGTCTAAGAACATTTTATTTGGATTTTAAACAGCACTTTAATCAAAGTCTTTTTTATTGTCATTTGTTGGATAAACAATAGATAAAAGAAAAATAATCCAAATCTGTTTTTACTGTATTTTTGAGCCTTGGTGGGCATTTTAAACAAAAACAAAAACAACTTACTGACCCCAACATTTTGAATGGTAGTGTATTTTTCTATTGAAATATGATATTTTCTTTAATACAGTGCCATTCACACTTTCTCAAAGGTATTCAAGTGTCCAAACACGTTTTGGGGTCCATGTATGTTGCAGTTGCCAATGTCAAAGTTTATAAAAGGCCCAGCTCATATAACTAATGTTCTGTGTGACTGATAATAACCTGCTCTTCTGCGATTCTGGAGGTGTTCTGCAGTTTGATGATGGTCTTGTTGAAAGCCCGTTGCATCTCCTCCATCTGTTTACGATACCTGAGTGGCAACAGAATTGATCAATCAAACAATGTGGCCCACTAAGATTATTTTAGGTTTGGTAGCGTGTAATTGTGTGTTTGTACCTCTGGCTGAGCTCCTCTAGGTATCTGCTGCTGAGGGACATGTTCATTTCTAGTGCTTTAATCCTGTTATTCAATCTCATGAACACTGATTCCTTCTGGTTGGATCCGTGCACCTGATTCCCGTTGCCGTTTCCATTCCCGTGGCCCATTTCCACCGAATGCTGCTGCTCTGCGTAAAACTCTCCGGCGGTGCGGTGTGGGAGCAGAATGTCATCTACAGTCTCCTCTTGTTGAGACAGAGGGGCTTCTGAAAGCTCTAGCTGAGAGGCCACAGGATCTTCAACCCCTGCAGCCCTGCCGTTATCTGAGGCCTCTGGAAGCGGGACGGGAAGTTCAGTAGGAGGTGGGATCTCAGCGGGGCGAGTGTGGGTGGGCAACGGTTGAACTGTCTGCTCTTTGGTGGGGACGGGGAGCTCCAGTTTGGGAGGGTCTGTCTCTGGGCTGTGGGGTTCGGTGGTGGTGGAGGAGAGCGGAGAGGAGGCAGCACTGGGTGAGAGGAGGCTGCTGGTGCTGCTGTAGCTGCTCACGGGCGTATGGGTTTCTGGGATGTCCAACAGGTACTGCGGATGCTGGTCCACGGGCTCTCCTGTGGGTAGAGACTCTGGGATGTTTTGGGTGGGGGTGTCGGAGAAGCTGTGTGGAGGAAGGGTGGAGGTACGACTGGGCTCTAACAGGATAGTCTCAGGTGGGAGCTCCTGCTCGCTCACTACAGATTCCCCACTGGAGGACTGAGGCAGAGTAGCTACCGTTTCAGTGGGGTAAATCCTCTCGGCTTGTGCCTGAGAGGGCCGCTCTGTTTCTGGAAGTTTCTCAGAGGGTGCAGGGGGCTCTTGGGTTGGGGTGGTGTCAGGGAGGGACTGCTGAGGGGTGATTTGCGTGTCCATTTCGGTGTGTGTGTGCTGTGCTTTGTGGCGGTGGTCTCTACGCTGGCGCTTTAGTGCTAAAGCTGCCGAACAGTAGCAGTAGAAGTGTTCGTGCAAAGACGCCAAACAGGATAAAGTCGAGAGGTGGCCGCAGTACGTGGCACTCTCCCTCTCCCACATCTCCTCTAGTCTTTTCTCCTCCTCTCGCTCCTCCTCCAGCAGGGACACAGTTGGCTGAGTGGCCTCTTCTTCCTCCTCGATGAGGATGACGATACGGTTTTCCTCAGGGGGAGGCTCTGAAGGAGCCTCAGGAACAGGAACCTTTAAGTCCTCCTTCACTAGAGTGGGATCCAGCTCAAGAATATCCAGCCTGGCGATATGAAGACCAAGAATGTTAGTGCACAAATCTCTCTTTTTATTTTAAACCAAGGATGCACAATGTTTGTTTCTTAGTTATGAGCACAAGCACAAAGAATCTGAGCTCACTGAACTGAAATGCCTGTCATTCCCAAAAGTCTACACAACCCAACTCCTAACATGTTCATTTTTTCCAAGAAAGAATTCATCCAAAGATGAAAAATTCTGTAGTTTGCTAAGTTATTTAGTTCCAATTCCATATGACTTAGAGCAATAAAAGAAGAATTCTATGACAATGACAAGGAATATCAATGAATGTGGGCAAAAGCTGTAAAGCTTGAAAAAAATATGCAAAAGACATTAAACACAAACTATTAAAAATTGTTTTCATTAAAGCTGAAATAAAATATAAATACTAGATTTAAAAAAAACATATTACAGTGGGGGAAATATTTATTTGATCCCCTGCTGATTTTGTAAGTTTGCCCACTTACAAAGAAATGAAGGGTCTGTCATTTTTATGGTAGGTTTATTTTAACGTATAGAGACAGAATACCAACCAAAAAATCCAGAAAAAACATTATATAAAGGTTAGAAAAAGTTTTCATTTAAGTGAGTGAAATAAGTATTTGATCCCCAAACAAAACATGACTTAGTACTTGGTGCAGAAACCCTTGTTGGCAAGCACAGAGGTAAGACGTTTTTTTGTAGTTGGTCACCAGGTTTGCACACATCTCAGGAGGGATTTTGGTCCACTCCTCTTTACAGATCCTCTCTAAATTCTTAAGGTTTCTTGGTAGTCAGCTCCCTCCACAGATTTTCTATAGGACTGAGGTCTGGAGACTGGCTAGGCCACTCCATGACCTTAATGTGCTTCTTCTTGAGCCACTTCTTTGTTACCTTGGCGGTATGTTTCGGGTCATTGTCATGCTGGAAGACCCATCCATGACCCACCTTCAGTGTTCTGGCTAAGGGAAGGAGGTTTTACAGTACATGGCCCCGTCCTGTACCCTTAGCAGAAAAACAGCCCCAAAGCATAATGTTTCCCCCTCCGTGCTTGACTGTAGGGAAGGTGTTCTTGAGGTCATAGTCAGCATTTCGCTCCCTCCAAACACGGCGAGTCGAGTTAATGCCAAAGAGCTCAATTTTGGTCTCATCTGACCTCAACACTTTTCCCAAGCCTTCTCTGAATCATTTAGATGTTCTTTGCCAAACTTTAAGCGGGCCTGTACATGTGCCTTCTTGAGCAGGAGGACCTTGCGGGCGCTGCAGGATTTCAGTCCATTGTGGCGTAGTGTGTTACCAATGGTTTGCTTGGTGACTGTGGTCCCAACTGCCTTAAGATCATCAACAAGCTCCTCCCGTGTGGTTCGGGGCTGATCCCTCACCTTTCTCATGATCATCCTGAGGCAAGATCTTGCACGGAGCTCCAGACCAAGGCCGATTGATGGTTGTTTTGTATTTCTTCCATTTCCAAATAATCGCACCAACAGTTGTCTCTTTCTCACCAAGCTTCTTGCTGATGGTCTTGTAGCCTATTCAAGCCTTGTGCAGATCTACAATCCTGTCTATGACATCCTTTGACAGCTCTTTGATCTTGCCCATGGTGGTGGGAGAGGTTGGAATGGAAGATACAGATTGTGTGGACAGGTGTCTTATACACCTAACGAGCTGACATTAGGAGTAACTTCTTAAAGTGGCAGGACTAATCTGTGTTCCACATGGGCACATAACCAATCTGTGGGAGCCAGAATTCTTGCTGGTTGGTAGGGGATCAAATACTTATTTCACTCACTGAAATGCAAATCAATTTCTAACCTTTATATAATGTGTTTTTTTCTGGATTTTTTGGTTGATATCCGTTAAAATAAACCTACCATAAAAATTACAGACCCTTCATTTCTTTGTAAGTGGGCAAATTTACAAAATCAGCAGGGGATCAAATAAATATTTCCCCCACTGTACTAACTGAAATTAGTTTAAGTTGAAGTACTAAAGTTACAAAAACTAAAACTGATGTAAAAATAAATGAAAGCTATTCATAAATATTTAAAAATAAAAACTAATAAAAATGATAAAGCGAATAACATTACTGAAACTTAAATTCAAATTCAAATATTAAAAATAAAAGCTAATTAATAATATTAATAAATACTATAGCAGTATATAAAAATATTCAGTGCATATAAACATTCACTGATAATAGAATTACTATAAATAATAATAAAATACTACTAATATATTTATGATAATCATTTAAGTGAGCTGTTAGCTACTGTGACCAGATCTTGAGAACCAGATTAGTCAGATTTGTGAATGACTCGTTTAAACCAGTTTTATAAAGCAGACCAACTGATTCACTAAAAAGATTTGACTCAAACCATTATGTCACAAATCAAAGCTATTTCTCTCATAAACAATTGCAAGTAGGGCAAGGTTTTTCAGTGAATAATTTAATTTGTTGATCAAACATTTTTATTTTTCATGTGTTTGAAATGGTGCAAGGTTCAGTAAATTAACTAAATATTTTTGGCTAATTTGATTATAATTTTAGCTACCAACAAAGAGTATAGTATTCTCTGCTCTACTCTGCATAATTCAGCAGATTGAGTCTGACTCTGAGCCTTGTTATGCGGCAGCTACAGTTAATTAAAGTTTTATAAGCTCGTACTGTATTAGAAAAATAATTCAGTGGTGGATTTGGTATGTGAGCAAACGGTTCAAACCAGTCTGTGCTGGAATACGCTGACTAGCTCGGGGCTCAGTATTGAGCAAACATCTGGGGTTTTAATGTGCTGGATGAGCAGGGAGTGTGTATGTGTGTGTGTGTGTGTGTGAGACTCACGTAGAGGGCTGTTCAGTAGTGGTGGGTTCTGGCGTGAGTGGGGTTTCTGTTGACGCCTGTGTGACGTTTTCTATCCCAGTGGAAACGTTTCCTGAGCGAGATGAGAGAAAGAACAGATTTTGACAGTGAGAAAATGAAAAGGAGAATATGAACATTGGTTTCCATACTGCCCTTCCTCAACACAAAGAGGGCTATTGTTCAGAGAAAAGCACCCAAGATTAAACACACAAACACAAATGTGTCCTTAACTAGCAACAGGTGATGATCTCTGAGAGCTTGAAATTACATAATGCTTGGCATGGTTTAAACTTACCCAGAACAAGGACATCTAAAAAAACTGCTTTGGAATAGCAGTCATTATGCCACAATGGTATTTTCTGAATTCTTGTCACATACGGAGTCAATCCTTATGACTGTGAAGATTACATTATCTAGAAAATGTGTCAAGGCAGGCATATTCGGATTATGCCTGTGCATCCAACTGTGCATTTCTTCAATTGACTGTAGAAGCTGTGGTGGAACAACCTTTAAAAAGCTATTCAAATATAACTGATGTCCAAGAGGATGTTAGTCTAAAAAGACTAAAATTGCCAGTATGTTCACTCACAGTGGGGAAGAATCAGTCCATTCATTTTATTGGTATAAATTTGGTCAGGTGATTAAATGTTGTGTTATTTGCTATCCATAATCAGTAGTATGTATACTGGTATTATATCAGCTATCGACCACCCTTTTTATTTAGATACAGTATTGGTATTGCCCATTAAAAAATAAATCATATCGGTCAACCACAATCTAACAGTAAAAAAAAAAAAACTAGTGTGCTTTCCTTTTACAAACTTATAAACTTTCAGCCATCCACTTGACTGGAATCTCTCAAGGGCCACAGTAAAAATATCTTGTTAAACAGTCTTTTCTCTTTTAGCCTCCTAGTCAGACTGTTTATGGTCATGATACAGAGAAGCAGGGTGTTTTTAAACTTCACTTCTGCTTTTAGGAAAGCCACATGCGTGTTTGAACAGCATTTTGTAGCAGCTCTCTCTGGGCCTGCGCGCGCACACACACACACACACACACCCTGGGAGAGTTTGATGCTGGCAAGCGCAGCTACAGAACCCATCAAAGACGTGCTTTCACTGCCAGGCCTCACAGTTCCAGCACTGTTGGCATGGTGACAGCCCTCACTAGTCACAAACAGCTGCCAAGCAAAGAGGAGCAAATAAGTGGAGTAATTTCTTAGTACAGACTCAGGACAGGGTGATTTTAATATACAAGCGCAAGGCAGAGATCAGGTTCATACCTTCCATTTCAGCTCCGTCCTCTAGCTCCGGATTCCCTCCTAGCACATTTGCTGCAATGTTGTTTACCATGTTCAGGATGGCGTCTAGAAAGGAAAAACAATCCAGGGGAAAATATTAAAAATACAACATTTATATGCATGGAAATGGGGTAAATGTCACACAGTGCCAACATGCAGGCTGGATTTTTTTCTGCACTTCAGCCAAGCAAATACAATGATCTTGAAATATAATGATCATTGCCAAAAAGTGATGAACTTTTGAATTATTAAAGTCAATCTGCCAGTATGTTTATTGCGTGGTAGAACTAGTAGAACAATTTATTCTTTTAGTATGAATATCATTTGGTTAGTTGTTATAATTTTGTCTTAAATATACATTTAAACAGGTTTCATTTACATACTGCTCCAAGCTTAGCCAATCAACTAGGAAAAGGATTTATCAAGAGTGTGTGTGATTGGCAGAATGTGTTTGATGAGTAAGTTTTGACAACCTTTCTAATGGATATTCAAAACACGTTTTAAAAGGAATTGGGCGGAGGGCACATCACTTCCTTGAATTCTACAGTTAGTACATTTTTATAAAAGATTGCCACTGTACCTTTGAACAAACTGGAATCTAATCAACTGGGATTGCCGTGAGCAAAGTGGATCTGTGCAATGTGCAACTAACGGGGTTCATCCTAATTATATGCCTTTAACCACTTGTTCATAGTTTAGCTAGTGTAACCTGTAGATTGAAATCAAAAGCACAGGCAGAATACGGAGGAACAGGACATACTTGTGGCAGAGCCCAGCAGATTCTTCGATGTCTTGTCCTCTGATGGCAGGTAGCCGGGTGGGTAATCTGTAAAAAAAAACGTCTGGAATTAAGACAACAGCATTAGCCAATGGACAAGCAGAACAACTGGCAAACGGAAAACGACAAATAAATAAAGTCTTCTGTCTAAATTAAATAATTAAATTCTGCCATACAGTAAATTAATACTGTACTGCAATACGTTTTAAGCTTTCTGTGAGCAATCGTTTAGAGAGATCATCTCACCATAGTCTTCATCCAGATACTCGGCTCTCTCTGAGGTGTACTGAGAGTCAGCTATCTCATCATACTCCTCCACCATACTGGTGCCAAACACCCTGATATACACAAAGATACACACGAGCAACACAAAGATTAGATACTTGCAAATATAAGAGTAAAGAAACATGCAGAAAGAAGATAAGGATTAAAAATCTGCATGGGAGTCGTAAACCCCTTGCTTGTAAAAATGACAATGTGTTCCTGATTTTATCGTAAAGACGGCACAGCCCCCGTACAGATAGAGAGACGGTCAGGCTTCAGAACGTAGAAATCTTAACGTAAAGCCCACTGTGATCATCAGGATAACTTATCTCTGCTTTCTACAAAACAACTCTAATCACTCTGCCCTTTACCCAGGTTAGCGGGGGTCTTTAAAAACATGTTTTATAGCCCCCTTCAATCCTCAAGGGCCACGTACGGAGAACTAACAGCAGTGGAAGAAAAATAACAACAGATATCCAGTGAAATGAGCAGTCTCAGAGATCAGAGGGTAGTAGGAATTTGGAATAAATGTTACACTGTAGATTTGCACGAACTCACAAGGGTTGCCACATGATGCCTTATAATACAATAATGTATCATATGGCTTGTAAAATAACAATGATCAGAAAGTAGCTTCTTGTGATTTGGACCTGAAGGTCAGTACTGAAAAGCTAACAAAATGAATGGAAATTTTCTCATCTCTATCTGGCCGTAGTGTTTTGCTTGCCTCTCACAGTATATACTAGTAATTCCCTTACAGTGGGACAATATGTCTCTCATAGAGTGCAGCCAGACCAGCCCCTTTATGGGCCTCCAACCAAGATTAAATCTCCTGCCAATGCAAACGGGCCTGAGAGGAGCCTGAGGCAGGATAGAGATCAACTCAATTCGAGAACTTTGCCTTTTGAAACTTTTATAATGCCATGTGTCCTTTCTCAAAGTCAATGAATTTTAAAGGGCAATGAAAGTACAGGATTGTAAAATCAGAAGCGACTGGTTTCTCATTACAACATAACACTGCTGTGGAGTATGCTTTGGTTAAACAAATGCTTTGACTCTTTATCAGTTTTTTTAAATATACTTGTATAACCCTTTTTGTGCAGTTTTTAATATTTGTCTCTCAAAACAAAGGGAAAAAAATACTTCATATCATGACACATACCAAAATATTCTCCTCACAGCATGCATTAGACCAAACACACACTTTACACAAGTATATAAACGCCTGTAGTACATACACTACCATTCAAATATTTGGGGTCATTACAACTTCTTGTTGAAAGAAAAAATAATTTTATTAGAAATAAAGACATTTATGATGATGCAGATTTCTACTTTAAATAAATGCTGTTCTTTAAACTTTCAATGCATCAAAAATAAAAATGTATCATGGTTTACACAAAACTATTAGGCAGCAAAATGTTTTCAACATTGATAATATAAAAAAAAAATTCTTGAGCACCAAATCATCATATTATAATGATTTATTAAGGATCATGTGACACTGAAGACTGGAATAATGACTGGTAATAAAATTCAGCTTTACCATCACAATAATAATTTACCTTTTAAAATATATTCAAATAGAAAACAGTTATTTTAAATTTCAATAATATTTCACAATATTACTGTTTTACTGTATTTTTGATCAAATAAATGCAGAGTGTATAAGAGCTAACGGTGACTATAAGAGACTTCTAAATCATTTAAAAACTCATAAAAAAAAAACTTATTGACCCCATACTTTTGAAAGGTAGTGTACTTGTACATACTGTAGAACCTCAAATGATTATTAATATCAATGGCGGCTCGTCGGGGGAGGCATTTTAAGGTGAAAACGGGAGGAGGACAATTTAATGTTAATAAAATTCACAATTCATTTCAGTTCATGTCTCAGAATGTGTATTTTTTGTGTTTGTAATTTCACAGTTGTAATACCATAACATGAAAGCGCCGCTTTTCTATCGCGAATGTGCCGAATCTGCTGATGTAATTGCAACCGCTAGGTTATAGAGAAGGGTAGGGGGAGGCCAGGGGAGCGCGGAGCTCTCGTGCCTCTGTTGGTAAAAAAAAATTAGCCAATCACCATCGAGTGTTCACTTTCAGCGCTGAGGAGTGTTGAGAAAAGAAACCTCGTAGGGGAGGCTAGCCTCCTTCTGATATCAACCAATCATCACAGAGGCGTAAATTACGTGATATTAGTTTGAACGTCTCCCGCTGCGCTGATAATGTACCAAGTACTTATGAGTAGCGATACTGAATATTTGATCGCCAACAGATTTACCAAGCTGTCATTCAAACAGTATATATACAAATTTAGGGAAAACAGCAGTCGGCTTAATTAAATGGCACAACAAGCAGCTCTCTTTCAACACTTTTAAGAAGGGATGGATGTTTGCGTCAAGTGATAGGTCAGGTAAGTGAAATTATATTATCTTGCTGTACGTAAGTCGTTTTCTTTACGTTTTCTGACTAAAAGCAACCAAAAAGCCATTTTAAAGTGGTTAAGCAAATAATAATAATAATAATAATAATCGGCAGGGATCCCAGACCAATACAATTAGTGTGCCTCCTCTATTTTAAAACCCACGAGCAGCCACTGATTAATATATCCTTTAATATCTGTGCTATTACACACACGGTGTTCATCAGCTAGTGAGCTATATAAATGTTGACAACAGAAGCAGATCTATTTGGGCTAATACACATTATAGCGCTCCTTGTGGTCATACTGAGTATGCAACACACACACCTGTACTGCACTATAAATTGTTTCTAACACACTTCGAACGCAATGACATCAAGCTTATGTGTGTAGGGGCATTCACATACTTGCGTAAAGTGGCTTTCAGTCATGTTATATAGGTTATATACACAGTACTGGAATTGTGCATTCAAGTCATATTAATTAAACACACCTGATCAGGCTGAGTGGACAGTAGTGTTCAGAACCAAAGTGGGAGAGCAGCTCAACCTACCAAAAAAATAAAAACACTGTAAAAATACAAATCACACTCAAACTTGGCCCTACAACAAAACCCATGTTCATTTTACCTTTTTACAAAAAAATGTCCAGTTTAGCGATGTCCCAATAATTTTAAACAAAACTTAGCAAGAATGAAGTGCTGAAGTACTTGCAAAGCATTATGTTTCCCTTGTGAGTGTGAGAAAAGATGTATATTTGTTTGTTTTTTTTCAATTGTCACACTGTATTACAGTATGCAAGCCTGCCACCCAAAGCAGCACTGACAAGATCTAAGAGAGAAGAGCGCTAACCTTCATGTATTTGATGAACATCTGATGCAGGAGGAGAAGACAGGAGAAAGCAGAAACAAAGAAAAACAGAAAAAGATCAGTGTAAAAGACTTGATTCATGCTGTAGCAAGTCAAGCATTTTGAACTGTTCTTGTTTGCCCAGCTTTGATGACTTGAGCAGCAGTACCAATGCAGGAGAAAGCTAGCTGAGGGAAAGGCTATAATTAGGAGTACGGAAAGGGAAATATAGCAGGGGACAACAAGTAAACATAAACACTGAAATAATAAACTTCACAGGAGTCAAGCAGAGCATGACAGAACAGGTTTAGAGCAGCTCAATAATGACAAAAGCATTTTGGGCATCACAGAGCTAGTGCAAGACGTGCATTTGTGGTAAAAAAAAAAAAAAAAAAAAAAACACTTTTATTATTATTATTTTTTTAAATAACAGATCGTTTCACTAGATAAGACCCTCATTCCTCGGCTGGGATCATGTAGAGCCCTTTGAAGCTGCACTGAAACTGCAATTTGGACCTTCAACCCGTTGAGCACCACTGAAGTCCATTATATGGAGAAATATCCTGGAATGATTTCCTCAAAAACCTTAATTTCTTTTCGACTGAAGAAAGAAAGACATGAACATCTTGGATGATAAGGGGGTAAATTATCATGACATTTTAATTCAGGAGTAAACTAATACACTGACATACAGTGGGTACGGAAAGTATTCAGACCCCCTTAAATTTTTCACTCTTTGTTATATTGCAGCCATTTGCTAAAATCATTTAAGTTATTTTTTTTTCCTCATTAATGTACACACAGCACCCCATATTGACAGAAAAACACAGAATTGTTGACATTTTTGCAGATTTATTAAAAAAGAAAAACTGAAATATCACATGGTCCTAAGTATTCAGACCCTTTGCTCAGTATTTAGTAGAAGCACCCTTTTGATCGAATACAGCCATGAGTCTTTTTGGGAAAGAGGCAACAAGTTTTTCACACCTGGATTTAGGGATCCTCTGCCATTCCTCCTTGCAGAGCCTCTCCAGTTCTGTCAGGTTGGATAGTAAACGTTGGTGGACAGCCATTTTTAGGTCTCTCCAGAGATGCTCAATTGGGTTTAAGTCAGGGCTCTGGCTGGGCCATTCAAGAACAGCAACCTTATATGCAAATCTATATAAGGTTATGAATGTGTGTATAGCATTGTACATTACACCGAGATTTGAACTGAACAATACAGTCATGAGACTCTCAGGCCTGAGAGAAGGGCACGGCTTTCCTCAAATGTCTTAACTGTGCCCCCTTTCTCTGCCTCTTATTCAGTCACCTTAAAAAAAAACACTCTTTGTTAATGCAATTTGATGTTATTTAGGGCATAGGTGACAGAACAATCATGTGTGTGATCCTTTTCAAGATGTTCATGTTTCAAATGTTAGTTTATAGATACACATGCTAATGTCAGAGCACAGATGAATTACATCAACCTCTTGTTTTTAATTCTTTGTGTCATAATACTGTGGTGCATTTCCCCCACAGCTTTCTTTTTTTTTCCAATTTATTAAATAAATAGATTAATAAAAAAAAAAGTTTCATTTTTCTTAGCAGTGCACTATGACAAAACACCACCTGCACCTTGTGCACAACCTTGTAACAAAGCGAGCAAAAACAGAAATGAACTCTTTAGGAAATCAGGTAGCTTTTGGAAGAACAATTCATTTTAGCAAACTGAAGCGACTGGCACCCCTTTTACCTTGACATATTTGGCATAGAGTTGCTCGTCCAGAGGGAAGCTCTGTACTGTGCGTTCATCACGGGCGTGAAATGTGCCCAGCTTGATCCACTTATTGGTCGGATACCTGAATTTGAGAAATGATTTTTAAAGAAAAGGTTAAGTTGGTGTTTATATAACACAGTCTCCAAACCAGGCTCGAAGTGATAAGATTTCAGCAACATGCAATTTGTCTGTTCACACCAAATGTGAAAATGTGGAATGAAACAAACAAAACCAACCACAACATATTCATGGTTTAATATGAGGCAGGATTTTGGATGAATTCGAATTCACTGCAACTAGTGAAATGTACTGTGGTACAAAAACACACATCTGCATTGGAGATCAGTCGACATCTCACATTGTGCCTGGTTAGGAGTGGGAATATTATATATGTCTATGTGAGTGATGCTACCTGTCACTTATAGACACAAGGAAATCTTTTGGTGTAGAGGAGAACAACTCAAAGTTTGCAATATCCAGCTGCTTCACCTGGATTGGCTCACAGAGCTCAATAACAAACCTGTATTGGGAGATTAATAGGGGAAATTAATTTATAATTAAGTAACGTGCTGACACAAAAACGACTAACACTGAAACAAAACGTACAATTTATTTATAATTATTTATTTTCTCAACATACTAATAGTATTTTATGTCAACTATCATTTACACAAATAGAAAAATAGACAGTGTAAAATGCATTTCTCCATTGTCTCTGCGCAGCTGCTGCAGTCTGTTTCTCTCTTTATCTGCAGTGACTCACCAGATCTTGGTACTGCAGGGGTTCAGCATGTACAGATCCATGTTCTCCATCAGGATGGCAGACGTGCTCTGAAAACAAAACACACAGACAAGCACACATTTGCTGATCTCAAATTAATCAATAACATTCCAGGTGCAGGAACAATATCAAGTAATTAAATGATTGTCCTATTTATGCCCCCGGTAAAAATCCATCCATCTTTCCACCTGCCCCATATGCTGTTTTGCAGTCTCTTGCACTGTACCTTGGCCTCATTGTTGGCAGAGAGGATTTTGGCCCCACATTCGACAGAAGCATAGTTATTCTTGAAATTCTTTTGGACCTTTTTGACTGGATGAGGGCTGCCATTTGATGAAGTGTGCATAGACTGACCTGAAAACAACAAAACAGGTTACATATAGGCCATCTGTCAAATGTTTTAGACCTTGAATCAGGTTGGCCTAGTATGCAAGTATGAGCATATCATGCTAAGTGCAGGTGGGTATGTTTACTTGTCAATTACAGCACTGAAAACAAAAGAACGACCTATCTTCATGTATGCACATAGCATTCATGTATGCACTATCTGTAACAAATAACCTTTGTGAATGGCAAAACTGTTGGATTTTAACTACCAATAGCTGCTGTCATGACCTTCTGTGACAACCTTCAGGGAAAAAAGCCATTCATTAACATTGTGCTGATTACAGCTTGTAAAAACAACCTAAAAATCTTTGTAGCTTTGGAGCCCACAGACCAAAAACAGAGACAACAATTTAGTTTTCTAAATTTGATTTAACAAATTAGTTTTTTGTGAACATTCTAGGTCGAGCAGCCCGGGCTATGTATAGCACAATCCTGACCCAAAATATTAAGGAAACTGATCAAATTTCAGTTATGTGATACTGTGATTCATGCAGGCAACATAAGCCTCACTGGAACCCAAATTCAATGTACTTGCTCTTTGAGAGCCCTCTAGTTTTGTGTGTACTACACCCGCTAATTAATGATGACGCGGGTCAATTAACATACTGTTAACCAGTGGTTGTTAATTTGCTGACTTTGTGATTTGAATGTACAAACACACACAACGATGGGAAAAACCCTGATGAACTAAAGCAAGAGTTTAATTGTTCAGCTGGCCCAGAGCATGCACTTAAGAGTTTTGTTACTTTTGTTGTAGTGTACTTTTCTTCTGAAGCAATCCATTACAGCAGCTTACACGTGAGCATACCGGGTTACGCAAAAGGCACTGTGCTCGCCAGTGAACCGTCAAATGTGAGCAAGCAAAAACTAAAAAAAACTATTATTATAAGCAAGCAGCAGCAAGCGGGGGAAACAGAAATTCATGATAAAAAGAGATCTAAAGAAAGGAACAGCTCTGTGAAATCAAGCAGAAGTGTGTCCTAAAGGAAGTGCGTGTGAGTACTGATGCATAAGCAGCACGGGGGCAGCCTGTCATGCGATGATTCACTGATGAACACGCAGCTCTGAGTGTGCATGTGACGCAATGCCGTCTCTCACTTTTCTTCTCCTCTACTTCCATCACTTTCTTCTTCCACTCATCAAAAGTGGGGATGTCCTCTTTACTGGGCACAGGAGGGTCTGTTGCTCCTTCATGGTCCATCACCTGGAGAGAGAGAAAAAAAAGAGCAACAAATCTTTATTACAGTGAAAAAACTACAACCCAACCTTCTTTGGTCCTAAAACTGTGAAATGCCATTTTGGAAAATCCATGTTTTCTATTTCAGAAGCATTATGCTGGGTAGATATGGAAAACATGAAATTGGTATTTGTCCCATTATTCACATAACTGTAAATGAAGCATCAAATATTTTAGAATATTATATTATATTCTAATAATATAATACAATATAATTACGAACTGTTTGAATCTTTTGAACGGCTTGAATCTGGAAAAAATTTCATCTATCACTGCTTCCACAAAATATATTTACCAGCACAACTGCTTTTAATATTGGTAAGAAAAGAGCAGCATATTAGAATGATTTCTGAAGAATCATGTGACACTGTGGACTGGAGTAATGATGCTGAAAATTCAGCTTTGTATGAAAGGAATACATTTAATTTTAAAATCTAATAAAATATACAAAAGTTGTTTTAAATTGACATAATTTTTCACAATATGACTGTTTTTAACCAAATAAAAAAAGCCACTTTGGTGAACATATGGTGGTGGACTTCTTTCAGAAACATATATGCATTATAATGTAACTATACAGACACATTACATATAAGGTCTATATGGGATTATACACCTTGACATTATACGCAAAAGGGTGGTCTTTCCTTCGGTCTCCCCATCACTTTCCCTTTTTCTTGTCTCCCTGATCTCTATCCCTCTCTGTGTATCTGTTAGTGCCCAAACAGCAGCGCCGACTAAGCATTTGGTTAATTAAACATTTACAAGGCTGTCCTGTGGAAAACAAACATGCTGATGTACTCAGCCCCACTCTCTCAGCCTAACCCTCTCCTCCACTCTTATGCTTTCTCTTCCACTTTCATCTTCTCCGTTTAGGGTGAATGTGTCAGAGCAGCTTTACGAGAGAGGAGGGGATGTTTTAGCTCTGCAGATCTCTAACAGCAGGGTGTGGAGAGCCTCAGTGGTAATCGAATACATACCCTTTCACTCTCTACATAATGGTGGAAAAAGGTAGGGGAGGAACATACGGGGAGCAAAATGTAGTGATTACTGTCATCATGTTACATACTTTTAGGTGGTGTAAGCTAGGGAAAAACAAAACTAGAAAAAACTACCAAAGTTGCCTAGCAACAGAACAAAGAGTACTATATTAATGGAGAAATTGCTTATTTTGATGATTATTAATACATTTAACTGTTTATTGAACATCAGCCTCCATTTTCTTAAAGCATTATGCCATTAGTCATATGTATTAAAGTGATTTTAGCATGTTTAATGGGGTTTAGGTAATGCAAATCCTCTTGTGGGTATTTGCTTTATCTCTCACTGTTAGAATTAATTAGCCATGTTAGATTAGTCTGATAAATAGTGTGTGTGTACCTGCTGGCTTTTTGTAGGTGGAGGGATACTGGCTGTCTGCCCCAGCTCTGTGAGGTCCAGCTCACTCGGGAGCAGAGTGGCAGTCGGGTCAACACTGGTCTCTGTACTCTGTACTCCCAATGTGGCAGACTGGTTCTCTGCTTGCTTTTCCGCATTTTCCTCCACAACACTATTAAGAGCCAGAAAACAGAGGAGAAAGAGGGTGGGGATAGAAAGAGACCTTAATAGATTGCTACACACAAAAAACAAAAATAAATTATCGCAAGTGACAAGCAAAACAAGCATTAAAATGGTGTATCATGGCACTGGGAAAGAAAATTAAATGGTAAACCAAATTGCCAAAATGAAATGATGAAATGAGAAATGAAAAAAAAAAAAAAGAGCGTGGCCAGAAGGTGTGGCTTGATGTGCCTGAAGCAGCTCCGTTACTTGGTTAACCATTGGTTACCAAGTCACCTGATGTAACGCGAGTACCGGAATGTTACCATGTAACCTGCGGTTTACCTGTTGCTCGGTACTCACCTGGGGAGCGTGATGCCAAGGGACTGGCTGAAGGGGGGCACAGAGCCCACCTCACACTGACTGGCACTAGAGTTTTCTACAGGGGCATCAGGACGCGGAACGTCTAGTCCACTGAAGGAAAGAAATCAAATGGTGTTTACCAAGAGAAAGAAGAGAGGAATTGGAGAAGAATACTAATGGAGAGAGGGAGGGGGATAGAAAGGATGAGAGAAAGAAATCTGGCTCCAGGGATGGACTGAACATTTGTCCAGGGTTATGTAAAAGGTTCCTGTAGTTCTGGTTTGTTACATTTTAAAGGCCTATCTAGCCAATCGCAGAGCGATATTGTCTTTTTTTGGTCCTTGTTGAAATGGAAGATTAGTAAATGCTCCAAGTCCGGTGAAAACAAGTCATAGTGGACTAGTAAAGAAGGTGAGATCCACTGTGATGCAGTTGAAAAAAACTGTCCCAAGTAGGTGCGATATGAAGTCCATGAAATGATGACTGTATGCTTGACTGATTCAGTTTAAAAGTTTGGATGCAGAAATGGATCACAATGACTCAATTAGAAAATCAAATCAAATGAAAAAATGAAACACAAAATATGAAATTAATGACAAGACAAAGATTCTAACACTCTTCTTTCCCAAACTGCTGTGCTTGCACTCACCTGGAGGAGCTCTCGGAGGAGGTGACTGAGGTAGGTGAGGCTGACTCTGGGCTCTTCTGGAGTTCAGCAGGAGATGCAGAGGGGTCTTCTCTGTGCGGGTCAGTCTGTGGAGGGGTTAAAGCAGCGGAGGTGCGGGCAGCCTGGTCCTCTGTGGCAGTGGGCTGTGGAGTTTCAGGGTCTGGCTGGGGCTGGGAGAGTGGCGGTGCTGTTTGGGGCTGCGCAAGTGTTGGTGGTTGAGCTGATTGTTGTTGGTCTGATTGTTGAGTGCTCTGGGGTTCCGGTTGCTGCTCCTGCTGCTGTTGTTGTTGTAGCACAGGGAGAGCAGACTCAAGCAGAATCTGCGACTCCTCCAACACTTCTTCCAAATTCACAGTCTACAATGACAGAAACAGACAAAGAGATTAACAATTATGCAACAGAAGGAGGATTTTTTTATTTAAAAAAAATCTTGACTATGATTTGGTTGCAGCCATGAGCTGGAAGATCACAGCAATAGTCTTATTCCGGCAGTAAATCCTATTTATTTTCTCCATAACAGTTAAAGACAGACCCACTGTGAGTTACAAGGCTGTTAATCAACAGTATATGCTTTTATTGAAGCCATCAGCCTGTATTATTTAAACTAATTTTTTTAACAGAGTTCATGGCGAAAAATTACATTATCCATGATTATGCAAAAAAAGCTCCTCGAATCAGAGAATTGCATCAAGCAAATTGCACCAAAAGAGCTCTTTAGTGCCCACCTATTCCCATGAAGCACTGCGAATGAGTCAGTCTCCCAGAGTTCTCAATCTATTTCAATATTTCTATATACATATATGCAAAATGTCTATGGAAAAATACTTCTGGAACCAAAATTAGGTGGGCACTGGCTATGATGTTGTTCATAATAAACAAAGAGTTTAAAGTCAAAGAAAGCAAAGTGAACAAACAAATATAAGATGTTGTGTGACCTATGCCCTGAGTCAAATGTGTGGGTCACATCTAAGTTTGAGACACGTAATAGAAGAAAACGGATATGATGGTTGGATTGCACTGGCACCTGTTTGTGTTTCTCTTCGAGCGGGGTATCTTGGGAGTGCAATGATGTTTCCTTTAGGGCAGCTCTCTCTTTTTCCAGGCCCACGTCATACGATGACTGAGTGTGTGTTGCCCTTTCCTCTTCAACCTTAAAGAGAAAAACAATGTTACTTATGAATAAAACATCTAAATAAAGAGCAAGAAAGGGTTACGAGGCAGCCCCTGGTCACATGTACTTTTGCTGTTTCATTGAGAGCAACGTGATCATTGTGCTGAAAATCTGTTTGGGCTCCTCAGAGGGGTTTGGAATGACATGAAGTTGAGTAAGTGACCGGATTGATGAGTGAGTTTTCATTTTGAGTGAACTATTCTTTCAACAACAGGTAAGCTGACAGAACTGGCTTTGTTTCTATGAGGGTGAAAGAGATGTTTTTCAAGGGCAAACAGCTATCGTTCAAGTTTGGCTGGAACAAAGAGGAAACACTTTAGTGACTACCGGAGTGGGGAAAAAAATGTGCAGAAGTGCAAAAAGGGCAAGCTTACAGAAGCTAAACTGGGATTAATCAGTCAGTCATTAAGAAATACTGGACAACTAGAAGAATCCACACCCCTATACAGCCTTAAATCTGTAGGTTACACAAGGGGAGTAGGGTTGTGACGGTGAGGAAATTTTCCCACCGGTTAATCGACGCGTGACAACACCGGTAATACCAGTATCACCGTTGGGGTGGGGGTGTTAGTTCGTTAGAGTTTCCCTCTTTTCTTTGCTTTCAAATGGTTTGTAAAAGTGCTGTGCGCATTTTACTTTCACTTTCAAATCAGCGGCAATTGAATTGCGGCAATTCGCCGTTAAGCAATTGTCCGTTTGAGTTTTTCCTCAGATTTCTTGGCTTTCAAATAGCTTGAAAAAACGCCATGCACGTTTTACTTTCACTTTCAAATTAATGGCAATTCGGCGTTGATTCAATTCAAGCAACAACAACATCAAACTCATAGAACTTTTATTAACAAAACGAATAAAAATACACCATATATGCCTAATAAAATAACTAATTACTTAGGCTACACAAAGTTTAAATGGGTATATAAAACTGAAAATCAGCAAACACTGTGGAACCAAATAAATAAGAAACATAGAATGTTTATTAGCAAAACATAAGAAAGCTTGGAGGCACGGCATATACACCTTGATGTAAAATAAAATAAATAAAACACAAAGTTTAAATAAAGTAATCAGCAAACACTGTGGAACCAAATAAATAAGAAACGAATGTTTAAAAAAAACTTCCAGTCAATAGGCTTTTCAAAATCTAAAATATTGTCAAACAGGCACCTTTTGCGTTTCCTTTCTAAACAATTTTCTGCCATCGTCTTGGCTTTCTCACCTCACTCTTGTCAGTCAGCTCGACTCACTCTCCTCACGTGATAAATACAATCTGACTCCTGCTCCATGGTGCACTGTCGTTCGCGCACGGTTCGGCACACTGCATTGAGCGTTTCATTTTTAAAAGTGTCTGTCCTCTAACTGAACTAGGCTAAATGATTTTTGTTACTATAAAAAAATCTAAACGACGGTGGGGGGCAGTGCCACGGTAGGCAAATGACGTAACCAGTGTTGCAGCCTAACACCGGTATAACCGAAAACACCATCTATCGCGGCAAGCCTAAAGGGGAGGGGGGTCTTTGTTGGGGCCCCTGTCTGTAAGTACCTTTATAGATTAGCTTGTTGAAAGACGATGTCAACAACAGTCTGCACTCTGAATGAGGAGCTATTGCACAACTTCAGGGGCTATTCAACCCTACACAACAGCCAAATAAACTCTCTTCTCTAAAAGGTAAAATGTGTATGATTCCCATTTCATAATACAAAGTTAAATCCCAACGGTGTTAAGGACACACACTCATTGACCTAATAGGAGAATAGTTCAACTGATAGCAAGTCATCGAGGCATTTAGTTGGTAACTGCGTGGAGTCATTGTTTTTCGTTACCTTTTCGTCGGCCTCTGGTTCCTGCGTTGTGTAACGGCTGTCATCCTGTGCAGGGAGCCCTGGGCCAGAGGAGATCTCTTCTGAACAATAAACATGATGACAAGAGTGCCTGCAACACACAGAGACAAACATAAGATTCCCAAACATGGAAATGAATTGTATATGAGCTACATGTACCAAATATAAGAGCAATGTATCTCTACCATGTGAAATAAAAACTCTTTTAACACTCTTCTAAGGTGGTAAGAGCTCATGACAACATTGCATGCTCCACCATAGAAAGAAGCTTGCAAGGCTGAGATGCAAGATTACACCTTTTTCTGTTGTTTTATTCTGTTTACAGTAAATCCTCCAGCATGGTAAAAGTTATTCTTACTAAAGCCAATTACATCAGAGCTCTCGTGGAAACGGTTTCACCCAAACATAATGGCATGTTCCAATCATTCTCATGGGTTTACAGACTAACACAGTCTAATGCTGTGCAAGCTTAGTTGAGAAATAGTGTCCGATTGGCAAAGATTTCATACCTGTTATGACTTCAGTCAGCCCAACAGAGGTGAGAATCTTATGTTCAGATTAGTGATGTGCAAAACCATAGATTTTCAGACTATTTGGTGGGTTCTCTAATGAATTTGACTGATTTAGGGTCCACACTGAATTAATTGGATGCTTTTTAAAGAAGTGTCAGTATTGCCGACGCAGAACCATGATATAACATTGTAATCTTGAAACGTTGATTTCAATGATAATGACTTTTATAAACACAGAATTAAAAATGCATCATCCTTAACAATTATAATAGCAATTATGATTCATCATTTATTAATTTTATTTTTTGGCAATAAGGAAATAATGAAGAAAAGGGGGGAAGAGGAAATGGAAAATACTGAGCAGGATTCAAAGGCTCAATGTGTCAGAGCATGTGCTAACTGCTAGGTCTTTCATTCTGATCTCATTTTGTCCAGATACATGTGAGGAACATGACTCAAGAATTCAGTTCTACTCCAGTGAACACATTTGTGCTTGGCTAACTATTGCTTCACTCTTCACTAGGTTGAGAAATTAACTGTATGAATGAAACGGCCAGTTAATCATTACACAGTTTTTACATGGCAAAACACAATTGTAAAGACACATAAACTAAAGGCCTATGGATTTCTGTGATGTGGAAAACACAAAATTTACTGTATAACATGAAATGTCACAGAATTTGGCAAAATTCCAAACCACCAAAATAAAACTTTAGATTAACTAAGAAATTGACAGAAATGTATTACTATGTATTCTTAGAGTAATAATAATAAAAGTAATACAATTTAATAAAACATTAGGAACATCACACAATCAAAAGATCTTTTCATGTTGTGGAGCACTTTAGCTGACAAAAAAATTAAAAAATAAAAGACGTTTTGTTGGAAAAGTTTTATTCTGTTTGATTACATTTTAAAATTATTGACGTTTTATGAATTCATTTGATTGCCACGGTTTGATGATAAATTTGTATTAAATCATAAAACACAGAAACCAGAAAATTAATACAGGAATTGGCAATAAAAGCAATAAAAGATTGCACAGGACTCTATTATTGTTAAAATTTTAATAATTACATTGCTAAAGTTGTATAAATTCAATTGATTAGACATGATTTTGGTTTATTTTTAATTAAAATGTAATTAAACCATTAAAAAAAAGAAAGCAGAATTAGATTTTTTATTTTTAATTTACAGGGCCCTGGCATTTCTATTCGGTGTTTAGCCACCTTGTATGCCACCAATTTTATGCCACCTTGCAACACTCACACTGTCCGTTCAGCACCAAAAACATGCCATGTTTGGAAATGAATGCAAACTGCACTGACAGCAGTGTCTGAAATGAATATTAACCGACACTCTGCACCAAACTGGTCAATGAATCTTATCTCCTCCTAATCCTACCAGTCTAATTTAACCAGCCAGCGCAGATCTACATGGGAGGTAAAATCATGGCAAAAATCTTGTACTAAGTACCTCCAAAGAAAGCTGTCAGATGACTTGTTGGAGAATGAACAACAGCTGGGGCTTGTCATTGTACGCACTCTCTGTCTCGCTCTCGTTTCAGATAGTAACAGAGTAACTTGAGAGCGTCACCCTGGCTAGATTTAGGAGTCAAGTGAACCTGTACACATGCAGGCTCATGTTAGCATACTGTCAGCACCTCGGCCAGTATGGTCAAACCCTCAAATCAACGTTGGACATTAACCACCGTCAAGTGATTCCTCTGATGGGACTCTACTCCTTATTATCAGGTCTTGTAATTAGGTGTTTACTTCAGGAAAGCATGCATGGTCAAGTCACAGCAGTAAAGACGCACCCACTTTAAGACATAATAAAACAGTTCACAGTAAGGAAAAATTGCAAAAAGAGCCATAAATGAACTATTGTAAAATGATGTTTGTAAGACAACAGAGGGAAACGAAGGGTTTTTACAGCCCTCTGATTCTATATGCTGTAACTGATGCACATGGATCTGGGCTAATTATTAATGGGTCAAACCTTGAACATACACAAACCCACAAAGATATAGCGTCCATATAGGTGTCAGGAGTGAGTTATTGAGCAACAATGTATATATGCCTGTGGGTCAAATGACTCAAAACAATAATGTAAGGGACATCACATACATATAGGCAAACTAGTTGCCTACGGCAGCAGCTTAGTGAGGACAGCAAAAGAAATCTAGGCAGAGACAGAAAAACACACATTTACACTGGAATTATCCATTTCAAAATACTTTTATTGGAATGACTGTATTAATACTTACTACACTGTCAAAGCAATATTTGAGATTTATTAATGTAACAAACAAAATGATTTTGTGAGTAAAAGGTTCATAAATTCTAGCAGTCAAATATACTGGGCGTTATTTGGCATTTTTCTAATTATCGGCCAATATGTTTTACTTTATTTACTTTTTTCGTCATCTGAAACATGCTGCAACTTATAGTCCAAAGAGACACAGTTAACTTCAAGCAAGCAAAGCATGCACAAAGCACACACATTTGGCTTGGTGCTGAATGAGAGCAGTACGTGAGCCCAAGTTTATTTGTATAGCACGTTTCCCACATGCTGGTAGTTTCAGTTTTGCTTTAAGTGTTGACAAATAAATACTTAATAAATTAATATATAATTATTAAATTGTTGCATTTAATCAATTTATCAACAATTTACATATTTTTTAAGAAGGGAAAAAGCAATCTGCTAAACTGGTTTTGAATAATTTGAGTTTTTTAATTGATTTTAGTCATAGTTCACTGTCTACATTTAAAAAGTTTGAAGAATTAAAGAATCAGAAAATACTGTTAGTGAACTCTGTGTTATGGTTGGTTGATTCCACACAAAAGACAGCTGGAAACTAAAAATGCAACTGCATTTTCACATGTAGCCTAAAGGTTATCATGTGAAGGAGTGTTTTATTTAGAGCAGCAGTTTGAGTACCCCTGGATAATGTGTGATAATGATTGTGTCTGTACAATAAACAAGACTGGGTGATCCGTCTTGCGATCATATCTTTTTGCTAATGACCAACTAACTATACATTATCATGTTTGCTACAAGGTCGGCAACTAAGGATGTCCCAATCAGGTTTTTTGTGCTGCCGATCCGATCAGAGTCATTGAATATTGAGTATCTGCCAATACAGAGTACCGATTCGATACTTGTATATTCCTATAGAAATTTATGTTTGGTGCACACTTCAGGTACATTAAAGTTATTAAAATGAATTCAATGTATACAATAAATATATGATGTATATATATATATATACACACACAGAGAGAGAATGTATCTTGAGATATGTGTATATATATATATATACACACACACATACACACACACACATCAGTGTTTCACATACATTTATTTATTTGTGGCAGCCCGCAATATCAACACTGACCGTCACAAATAGATTTTCCAAAAGGTTTTGACTTTGTTGAATAAACATGAGCTCTGCACGTTTTAAAGTCAAAACGCGGCATGGGTGTTTTTATATGAATGTACCTTTGAAGGGTACCAACTGTCTTTAGAAAAGTTTCGATGTCATTTTCATTTAATCTTTCCTATAATGCCTGATAAAGTAGCGTTCGTGAGCAGAGCGCTGCTTTGTTTACAGCCGTTACCGGGGAAATGGCTATTTCTGGCACTCCTAAAGTGCCTCCTGCTGGCAGAGAATGTAAGTGCATTTTCAATAATCCCGTTTGCTGTTTTATATATTATATACAGTGGGGCAAAAAAGTATTTAGTCAGCCACTAGCAGAATAACTGCAACATAAAGTGGAGATAAGTTCAGAAAGCATGAAGCTTGCGGTGTCAGAATGCCAGTCTGTCATTCAAGTCTGAATAAAGGCGCAACCCATAGCAACGTGTTATGACAACGACGTCTCAGATAGTCTGACGGCAGATAAAAGTTAACAATAAATTAATGAGTGATCGTTACAAAAGTGTGCATCAAATAAACTGAACAGAAGCTGAAACGTGTGACGTGCAAGAACAAACCTCACTCTTTCTCGCATATCACACCTGCACATTTTGAGTGTGTTCTTTTTCTTTTAATGGCAGTTGGCAAACACACTTAAAAGGCGCATACTGACACAAACTGCACAACACCGGCATGACAGCTGAAGTAAAATAAGGAAAAGTATAAAAAAAAATTTTTTTTTAAATGCTTGATCGGCCCTGATCCCGATCCTTGAGATCGGCTCAGGACATCCCTTATCAGTAACATAATTAAATAATGGATTCATTTATTATTGATTGAGCTGAAAGAGTGCAGACTGCAGAGTGATACGAGTTGCCTGGGACAACCAAGTTATACAGATTAGTGGTCATTATACAAAAATTTACTGAAATGAAGTACTCCAGAGAGCCATGTAATACTTTTTTTTTTTTTTAAGCACCGTATCTGTAGTACAATTTAGAAAAAGCAAAAATTAAATGCAAATGTCCATTCCAGCTGTAGATGACATGAAGCAGAAGCATCAGATGTCATCAGCTGCTGTTATTTGCATTACCCATTGTTTCACATACAACATCCAGTGCTTATTGTGTCTCGCCATTATTCTTTCTACTTTTT